CATCTTCAGAGCCATTTATAAACGTGGTTCTTGCAGATAACACCCATGATCTCAGGCTGGTGTTTGCACGTTGCTTCTTAGGAAGGTGGATGCAGTGATTGTTTCAGAGATGAGGTTTGGGTCACAACCTTGTGCCTCCTGCAGAATGCTCTGAGATTTTCCATTTTGATGGAAATGTTTGGGAAGGTCTTGGCTCAGATGAGGTGTCCTGTGCTCATTAGGAAATTCCTGGAGTGTGAAATGAGGCCGTTTTCTCTGATTTAGATATGCTAGATCTCCACGGGCAGCCAGAGCCTGTCTGGAATTTCATAAGCTGTCCATTTAGGCCTTCGCCTTTAATTTTCAGCCTGGAGAAGAGTCTCTCTTTGGAGTCACATAAAAAACAGCTGCCAACCATTTCCTTGTTTCAGGATGACGAGCTTGAAATGGTAAGCATGTTAATCGGTAGTAAAATTGCCCGTTTCTTGAACTACTTTAAGCGGATCCCTTTGAAAGGGCTAGATAATTGGGTAACTTTAAAAGCGATGCAACATTTCTTTTATTGCTGTCATAATAATGCTCACTGGAGTGAGGCCTTCGGAGTGGTCTGTTTTTGAACTTTGCCTTTTGATGAATACAGGTAAGAATGATTTTTAATGCTAAGTCGCTCAGTCATGTCCGACAACTTGGGACTTCATGGACTGTAACCCACCAGACTCTGTCCATGGGATTTCCCAGGCAAGAATACTGGAGTGGATTGCCATTTCCTTCTCATTTTCTTGACCCAGAGATCGAACCCATGTCTCTTGCATTGGCAGGTGGATTCTTTATCCACTGAACCATTGGGAAAGCTTCATTAATGGGCTTTGACCTTTTGTTTTAAAAGAAGTTTAGTATGTAGTTATTTTTGACTGTGCTGGGCCCTCATTGCTGTGAGTGGGCTTTTTCTCTAGTCGCAGCAAGCGGGGGCTACTCTCGAGTTGTGGTGCTCGGGCTCCCCTCGTTGCAGAGCACAGACCTCGGTATTTGTAGCACGTGGGCTCGGTAGCTGCGGCTCCTGGGCTCTAGAGCACAGGCTCAGTAGTTGTGGCGCACGGACTTAGCTGATCCACAGCATGTGGTATCTTCCCGGATCAGGGATCGAACCTGTGTCTCCTGCATTGGCAGGCGGATGCTTTACCAGAGTCGCTAGGGAAGTCACTTTGGGGCCTTATTGATAGGCTTTCAGATAAAAACAGCGCACACCCTGCATTCTAGAGGACCACCCAGTCATCTTTATGACAAGCGTATTACTAAGACGCGCGGTCCTTTTCGGGCAGTTTATTGGGATGGGCTGTGTATCAGGGGATGGCATTCCACTCCAGTACTCTTGCCTGGAAAATCCCACGGATGGAGGAGCCTGGTAGGTTACAGTCCACGGGGTTGTGAAGAGTCGGCCACGACTGAGCGACTTCACTTTCACTTTTCACTTTCATGCATTGGAGAAGGAAATGGCAGCCCACTCCAGTGTTCTTGCCTGGAGAATCCCAGGGATGGGGGAGCCTGGTGGGCTGCCGTCTGTGGGGTCGCACAGAGTCAGACTGAAGAGACTTAGCAGCAGCAGCAGTGTATCAGGGGACCCTCAGATGGAGGGGTGGAAACCACGCAGCTGGTTTCTCTCTGAGGTGGTCATCTGTAGCTGATAGCAGAACCAGAAGGTCACTTTGGTGGAAAAAGCGGGCTGAACTCATTCACTCGGCAAACTTCTCACTGGCCAGAATGCAGTGGCATGAGCACATCCAACTTTTAGGATGGTCCAGAAATGTTTATTTTGGGTAACCAGTTCCTCCTCCCTGCAGACAAAGCAGAAAATGGAGATTTGGTGGGGGAGGGGGTCTCTGGTGCATACTCATTTCTCCCTGTGTGCAGGTTCTGGCACTGTCTGTCCACTGCAGAGTCTCCTGTGATGATCAGGTCGTGAGTCTGGGTTCCCAGCCGTGCAGTACCATTGTCACCCCTATATAAACCTGCCTTAATGGCCCCAAGTTCAGTGATTGCTGAACTAAGTGGAGGATGTTTGAGTAGTAAGTAGTCATAGCTCCTATTCTGCTGACTCGTAATTAAAGGAAAGTTGGTGCATGGACCCAGAGCCTTGTTATGTGTAAGAATTTAATAGATGGTAAAGACAGCCTGTTAAAAACCCAACGGGGTAGGAATGGATTATTAACTGCAGGGAATGGTCAGCTCAGAGCCGCACTTCACAAGACATTTGAACATAAACATATGGGAAATATGTTAAAAAACTAAATGTGAAACTTGAAATCCAGGGAAATTAGACTTCTGGTATCTTACAGTTGGGGAGGACATTTTATGAATGTAATTTTTAAAAGACATGAAGTGAATCAATGGATCAGACTAAGTTGAAAAAGACAGCACGTTCCATACATGTATCAGAAGGTATCACTGAGGGGAGAATTAAGGGAAAATGTCTGCAAGGGTTTTGTGGGATAAGATACGCAGGGCTCTTAAAAATCCATTAAGAATACCAACAAAGTTAAAATGTGGGAAAGAGCTGAGGTGTCATGGGAGAATTGCAGATTACAATGCCCATAATAATGAAAAATAAAAAAATCAAAATAATGGCCAGCAGTGGGAGAGGGATAGCAAATGAATAACCTATTCATATTATAATAAAAATCACACAATCATTTTAAGTCATGTTTTCAGAGGAGTTTAATGATGTGGGGGAAATGCTTTTTAGGTGATGTTAAATGGAAATGAATTAAAATTCTAGATTCTATATGAAAAAAAAAAACCCACAGAGAAGTATCTGGAGGAGATTATAAATACAAAAGAGATTGTCCCTGGGTGTTAGAATTACAAGTGATTTTAATTTGTCCGTTTTTAATTTTGTTTTGCAAGACTTCTGCAGAAAGTGGAAAGGTTACCTTTTATGGAAAGAAAAAAAGTAAACATCGCAAAAAAGCAAATGGTGACATGTCATTTACCAAAATAAATAAATCTTGCAGCTCCCTGAGTAGACAAAGATGTGTTACTTGTCCTTACAGAACAGTGTGGATTTTTGGTATAAATGTTGTTGCTCTTGACTTCTATTTCAAATGATGGGTCTGGTTCATTAAAATTGAACTTATTTTACAGTCGCTGATTACCTTTTTACAGCATGTAGTTAGATGCAGACAGAGTTGAATCAATAGGAATCTTAAAAACTTGAGCCCTCCTTTAATAAGGGCATAGAAGCTACTGATATTTGACTAATTTACTAGTAGTTGGGTTCATAGACTTTTCCTTGCAGAAAAACTGCCTGATTACATTTCTGAGGTGGAATGATTTTCTTTAATTTGTAGATGAATGAAAGAAGCCAGAATCTTAGTGACATAACTTGGAGGCTAAGATTGCTTCTCTTTTGAAATTGTTTTGGTATAAAAACAGCACATTCACTAAAAACCTACTACTTTAAGAAGATTGCAGTGAAAGATTTTGGAATATTATGGTGAAACTGTTCAGTCTGCTTTTGAATTTCTTTAGGTTTTAAGATTCCTATGCTCTTTAAACTAGTTTGCTATGTATTAAAACTACTAAGAGAGGCAAGAATTGGTGCTGATTTAGGGCATATTCCAAACTCAATTATCATAAACTTCTGCTTACCTAGGCAGTGGTCTGGGTGTTCATTATGGCAGCTGCTAATCACATAGGGCTTTTAAATAGATATGCACGTGTGCTCATTTGCTAAGTCACATCAGACTCTTTGTGACCCCAAGCCTGCCAGGCTTCTCTGTCCATGAGATTCTCCAGGTAAGAATACTGGAGTGGGTTGCCATTTTCTTCTCCAGATTTAAATAGGTATACAAAGGAATATTACTCAGCCATGAAAAAGAATGAAAACTTGGCATTTGAGCAACATGGTTGCACCTGGAAGGTATTATGCTTAGGGAAATATGTCAGACAGAGGAAGTCAAATACTGTATGTTATCACATATATGGAATCTAAAAAATATAACAAAGGAATATAATAAAACAGAAGCGGACTCACAGACACGGAGAACAGACTAGTGGTTATCAGTGGGGAGAGGGGATGGGGAAGGGACAGGGGGAGGGACTTAAGAGATACAAAATACTAGGTAGTAATTTCTCAGTTTTTTTCTTTATCAGGTGATGCCCTACCACTCAGCATGTTCTTGTTTTCTATCTGTTTCCATTCAGTCTCTGTTTCCATTTCTGTCTGTCCGTTTATCTGGCATGCAGCTGCCCGAATGATTTTTCTGAAACAAACCCGATCATTTTGCTTCCTAGAAGGAAGCCCTGCAGTCCCCACTGCTGCCTGCAGAGTAAAGTGCAAGGATCGGGTCCCTCCTTTGGCAAACCAGCCCTGACTGGCTGACTCTTAGTAATGATAGCACCTGGGTATTTCACCGGCTATGAAGTACACAAACCAGATAGGTGTAGGATTCTGTGAGAACCGGCTGTAATTTTGCCTGTTTTCCCAGCAATTCTATCAGAATGCAAGTGTGGAATCGCCATCTTATTAAGGAGAAGTGCCGTTGGTCAGAAAGCATGTTATTGGCATGCAGTGATGTTTTATCTGGTTTTGGTAACGAATCACTTGTGAGACACCAGTTACCTTCCCTGTGTGTGGGGATGCTGAGGCCGGGGCACAGGTTGAGGGGTGGGTGCGGTTCTTTCTTCATAGCTTCCAGTGAGAGAGGAGGGAAAAAGTGGATCGTGGAGTCTCTTATTAATGCTGCCAAGGTAGATTTGGGGGTTGATATGGCAGTTCTGTTAATTGATGAAAAATATGTCCATCTTAGTGGTGATGATGACCTGTAGCTGTGCTGTGACCTTGTGTGGGTATGTGGTCGTTAGTCTTCAGTCCTGCTATTTCCTGTTGCTAACATGATGTCACACCCTGCATGTTGTAATGAAATGGTGGTAGCTTTGATGGGGTATCATTAGTTTTGGAGAGTTCAGAAATTCATGGTTGTGATTATAGTGCCCTGACTTCTGCTGTTGTCGCTTTCCTTTAGGTAACTCTTCCTGCAGGATGCATTAAGAGCAGACGATCTCAGCCGTTAAGAATGGAGAGCAGTGTGTCGGCTTCCAGTATGCAGGACCCTTCATCCTCACCCTTGGAAAAACATCAGAGCTCAGCTGATCGCAATGGAGATCTTGATTCAGGTGTGGTTTCGTTTCCTAAATGAGTTTGGCCCTTTGGCATCTTGACTGGTATCTTCCTGAGAATGTTTAAAAACATTGGGGGCAGTGTTCTGAAGCTTTACATACTGCTTGTTCTGAGATCTGCAGGGATATTTATAAGCATATAGCAGTTTGAAAGTTACGCAAAGTTGGGTTCAAAATACCAGACTGAGCAGGCTAGGTTATAATGAGGTGACATGCCACTTTAAAATCTCAATGGCTCTGTGATCCAGCAGTGCCCATCCTGGGTGTATATCTGGACAAAACTATAGATAAATGCACCCCACTGTTGGTGCAGCACTATTTACAGTAGTGAAGATTTGGAAGTAGCCTAAGTGTCCATCGACAGATTAACAGATTAAGAAGATGTGGTACCTAGATGCAACGGACTCTTACTCAGCCACAAAAAGAATGAAATACTGTCATTTGCAGCAACATGTATGAATCTAGAGATCGACTATCATACTAAGTGAAGTCAGTCAGAGAAAGACAAATATCATATCACTTATATGTAGAATTAAAAAATAGTGCAAATGAACTTACTTACAAAACAAAGGCACTCAAAGACATAGAAAACAAGCTTAAGTTTACCAACGAGGAAAGAGGGAGAGGGATAAATTAGGAGGCTGGGATTAACATATGCACACTACTGTATATAAAATAGATAAGCACCAACATCCTGTTGTACATAGCACAGGGTACTCTACTTAATATTGTGTAGTAAACCATGATGGAAAAGAATCTGATAAAGTATATATGTATGTGTGTGTGTGTGTGTGTAATGGGGTCACTTTGCTCTACACCTGAAATGAACACAACATTGCAAATTAGCTGTGCTCCAATAAAAAATAAAACCTTAGTAGTTTAACACAGTAAGTGCTTATAAATTGGCCATATCATTTGAGCAGGGCCAGTGGTGCTCTGTCCGATGAGTCCTCCCACCCTCTCTTTAGGGCTGTCATCTCTCCACGGTGCTCCGAGGTCTGTCCTCACAGAGGGTGAGCTGGGCTGGAGTGGCTTGAATCAGCGCTTAAATACTTGAGCGCAGAGGAGACCTTTGCTCCTAATCTCTTGACTAGAACTAGTTGCGAGTTTTGGCTGCTGCAAGGGAGGCGACCAAGTAGAATTGTCTCCCATGTGCCCAGAAAGAGAGGGCCAGGGCAATCCGCCTAGTTGTCAGATGCCCCTTCCCAAGACCCTTTCTTTCCTTCTTTATTTTTTTGGCTGTACCTCGAGGCTTAAAGGTTCCCCGATCAGGGGTTGAACCTGGAGCATGGCAGTAAAAGTACCAAGTCCTAAAGAGCATAATGTGAAAGATATTTAGGTCCTGTGAATTTGTGCTAAAATATTTCTCCTTTTAAGAAATCCCAAACAAAGCAATGGACATCTCTGATTGAATTTTATATTTAGTGAATTTATACATGTGTCTTTTTTCTAACTACTGATATAATAAAGAGTTTATTTTAAAAAGATAACTGTTTAAAGAAAGATAAGTTTTTAAAAATAAAGGTTTGTGATATTTACATAACACCAGCTTGTATAAGGACAGCTCAGCTCTGAATCATAAACATTTGCTCTGGAGAATTCATTAAAAAAATGACCGTTAACTTTTGGGAGATTTGACCTCCATCTGGAAAGTTACAAGGTGGGTCTTTGCATTTTAATGAGACCGAGAGTCTTAATGTGGTTACTCTTGAGTGTTTATGTAGTTGGGGGCCCCCCACCCTGACTCCCAGTTGCTGCACTTGCCTGCTTGATGATCCACCTTTTGCTATGAGAAATTCAGCTTCACACAGAGGACTCTCTGCCTCATAAACAGCTTTTTTATTTTTCATTTTGCCTCATTTTAAGGAAGGCTCAAATAGTAGTTGGGGCCCAGGACACTCGAGTCCCCTCGATGAAATTGTTGTTCAGTCGCTAGGTTGTGTCTGACTGTTTGTGGCCCCATGGACTGCAGCACGCCAGGCTCCTCTGTCGTCACTCTCTCCCGGAGTTTGCTCAGATTCATGTCCGTGGAGTCGGTGATGTTATCCAACCATCTCATCCTCTGCTGTCCCATCCTTCTTTTGCCTTGAGTTTTTCCCAGCATCAGGGTTGGGGACTGGTTCAGTGTGACTCAATAATATTCCTCCTCCTCCCTTTTTAAGGTCTCTTTGAACAGTTGTTGCCTCCCTAGCTAGGAGAATCGGGTGTTTTTCTTTCTTTCTTTTTTTTTTTTTTATGGAAAGTCTCTCTGGCCTTCTCGGGCTCTGGAAAGCTGAGACAGCCTTGAGGACCTTGTGTTTTGTCCTCCCCCCAGCCCAGGTGTAGTCCGGCAGCCATGAACTCAGACCTAGGATGGTGTTGGCTAGTCCTTGCTGAGTTTCATCCATACCTTGTGTCTGTTCAGTGTACTTAGAGTGGTGGTTGTTCAGTGGCTAAGTTGTGTCTGACTGTCTGTGACCCCAGGGACTGCAGCACGTCAGGCTTCCCTGTCCTTCACCATCTCCTGGAGTTTTGCTCAAACTCATGCCCGTTGCATCGGTGAGGCCATCCAACCATCTCATCCTCTGTCATCCCTTTTTCCTTCAATCTTTTCCCAGCATCAGGGTCTTTTCTAGTGAGTGGGCTCATTGCAACAGTAGAACTGTTTTCTAAACCTTGTGATCCTAGGAACTGTCAGCAGTTAGAATGATAAAGGTTGAAAGTCTTCTGCCTTCTCTTTCCACTGAAATATCTAGCACACAAAAAGGTGCCCTGTAAGATTTCATTTACTCTAAACCTGCTGGTTTTCTGTTCCTTGACTGGGTACTGGAAATAGGTTTAATATTTCGCTTGCAAAGGACTTCATTGGCAGCCCACTAGTTAAGACTCCGTGAAGGGGGCACAGGTTCGATTCCTGGTTGGGCAACTAAGATTCCTTCATGGCCCCCCCCAAATTTTTTTTTTTCCTTGCAAAGTTAGTCTTATTTCAGATGGTAATATTCTACAACCCAACATCTGATCCCTTAAAAAAAGATGGGTGAGTCCTGTGTTGATTCCATTTTTCACTGTAAAGTTGTCTGCACGCCCACTTTTTCAGTAAAGTGTTCAGTATTCTTTTTCTAGTTAATAGGAATGATTCTGGTCACATATCCAGCATTCCGTATTCTAGAAGTGGATCACCACTAGTAGACACTCCTTTCTTTTAAATCATGAAATTTCCACAGTAGCTCGTCATAGTCTGTTTGCATTACATCATGGGAAATGCCTCCCACTGGTTCTTGTGCAGAGAAGAGAGATTGTTGAGAGTTTCCTTGATAAAACATGGATGGGTTTAAGAGGTTTATGAGTCAGCTGTAAATATTTGCTGTGGGTTTATGAGACCTCCACTCATAAACATTGTGTGTTTATCTGTTGCTCTTTGAAATGTCTTTAGAGAATCAGCTCCTCAGGGCATAGGTGGCTGAGGAAGTGTCACTGCGACAGTTTCCAAGAGGCCGTCTTGTGGGTAATCTTCGACTTTGTGCATGATTTTATTGTTAAAACAGCATTGTTGTTCAGTCACTAAGTTGTGTTCAACTCTTTGTGACCCCATGAAGACCCAGAAGACCTTCTAAGACCGCATACTTAAGAGTTAACAGCACTGAAGTCTGGCTCTTCGGTGCTTTTAAAAGTATTTATTTAAAGACTTTTTGGGGGGATGTGGACCATTTTTAAAGTCTTTCTTAAATTTGTTATCATACTGCTTCTGTTTTATGCTTTGATTTTTTGGCCCCGAGGCATGCGGGATCTTAGCTTCCCGACCAGGGACCCAACCCGCATCCTCTGCATTGGAAGGGCGGATTCTTAACCCCTGGACCTCCAGGGGAGTCTCTCAGAGATATGTTTAGATGATAGAGAGCACCTGTGCTTTCCTGAGCACCGATCTCACTGGTCAGTAGGGGCCCAATAATACCTTGTCTTTTCTTGATTGATGGGTGTGAATGCATGGGTGAGCACCAGAACTGCTGTGGCCTGTTTTAGTGGGAGAGGAGAGTGGAAATGTACCTTGTAATGAATTCACATTGGGCAGAAGCAGCCTTTTTGGTGACAGTTGAGATGAGAATCTTATGGAGGGTCAGGAGTTCTGGGGAGTGGGTTCAGAGTTGAGCTTGAGATTTAAGCCATGGCTTTGGTCTCACCACCGCTTCCAGGGACCGGAGCCGTCAGGTCTCCTCTGGTCCTGACGTGGGTTCCTTAGGGTCAGGCCCGCGCAGCACCAAAAGTGTCTGTACGTTAATCCCAACCTCCTAATTTGTGCTACCTTCCCCTTCTGTGTCCACATGTCCATGCTCTCTATCTCTGTCCCTGCCCTGCAGTTAAGTTCATCACTACCGTTTTCCTAGATTCCACATATATGCCTTAATAGACAATATTTGTTTTTCTCTTTCTGACTTATTTCACTCTATGACAAATTCTAGGTCCATCTGCATCTCTACAAATAACCCCATTTCTCCCCTTTTATGGTTGAGTAATATTCGATTGTATCACATCTTCATCCATTGGTCTATTGATAGGCATTTGAGTGGCTCAGTGGTGAAGAGCCCAACTGCCAATGCAGGAGCTTCAGGAGACTATTTGATCCCTGAGTAGGGAAGATCCTCTGGAGGAGGAGATGGCAGCCCTCTCCAGGATTCTTGCTGGGAAATCCCATGGACAAAGGAGCCTGGCGAGGGTCGCAAAGAGTCAGACATGACTGTGCATACATAGAGGCACTCCTAGGTTGCTTCTATGTATCTCTCCAGTCCTCTGTTTCTGAAACCAGCAAATAGAAACTTTGAAAAAGAATTCATCAGTGACCTTCTACATGTTGAATTTGTTCCTCTCTTGCACCAAAGAGTTTCTGATTTTCATGGAAGGCCAGTGCCTTTCTATTCTTCATGTTAGTATTAATTTTCTGTTTTTTTTTTTTTTTTTTGAGTTGGTTTTTGTTTTGGGTGTTTCTGTTAAAGTTTAAAAAATTTTAATTTTTTTTTTTTGGTCTTTCCACAGAAGAAGGCTCCAGTTTGGAGGAGACTGGCTTTAACTGGGGGGAGTACTTGGAAGAGACGGGAGCCAGTGCGGCCCCACATACCTCCTTCAAACATGTAAGTGATGGTGACTTCCCTTCTTCTGGTTTGCGTTTGGGGTGTTGGGGATGCCAAATGCGTTTTGCAAAAGGGAATGAAAAGGAAAGATAGATTTGGCCAAGATTTATCCCCTGGAGAAAGGAATGGCTACCCACTCCAGTATTCTTGCCTGGAGAATTCCATGGACGGAGGAGTTCATGGGTTTGCAAAGAATAGGACACACCTGAGTGACTAACATTCTTCGACATACAGCTGAGATGAGGAAGTGAGTGGGGGAGGTGAGCCTTGCTCTGGTCCTGCCCAGGGCAGGTGCTCACAGGTTTCAGCCTTGTTTTGCACCTCAAAAAGCCAGAGCAGAAGGCTGTGTTCCCTTCCGTCTAGCGGACGGAGACAGGTAAGGTTGATGTGAGCGAATAAAAGCAAACTAGGCAAGCAGGTGTTATGAGTCATGTCTTCTTAGGAGGCGTAATGACTGTGTATTTGAATTTTGTGTTGATATTTTTACTTTGAAAGGACACCTGTAAAACCGTCTGGCCATTTGTGGACAGATGAGCCAAATTATAGGAAAGGCCAGAAGTATTCAGGAAATATTTGGATCAAACCAGAAAATCACCCTCATCAGTACTTTTTTTTGAACAATGCAAATAGTATGCCAAGCAGAGGGCAAGTCCTAGGAAATAAAAAAAATTAAGTTTTTAATGCAGTGTTTGTTTAGATACGAGATTTTGGTGATACATCATTAGCAAGGAAAAAAGTAACTTTCTAGGACCCAGGTTCCTGGGTTTTACTCTTTGCTTTATTGGAAATGAAAATTTAATAATGAGAGACATCCCCCCCCCACTCTTCTCATACTGGGCTTCCCAGGGCAGAGATTTAGCCATCATAAGCAAATCGGGGGACTGTCTCTACCTGGTCCTGCCTCTGGCTCTTTTGTTGAATTAGGAAAACACTTTCTTTATTTTAATGCAACATTTTATTCTTTTTGGAGGTGAAGTGTTCTTTTGAAAAGGAGTTTAAGACCTTATTAAACTTGCATGACCTCGTTAAATGTGGATTGCATTCCTGATTCCTTTTTAACACTGACACTTAGATTGTTATAATTACTGGTTTATTATGAATGGGATTGTAGCCATTTTGTGAAACCAGCACTTTCAATATTAAACATAGCAAATATCAAAACGTAACAAATATTAAGACATAACAAATATTAAGACATAACAAATATTAAAACATAACAAATATCAAACATAACAAATATCAAACATAACAAATATTAAAACAAATATTAAAACAATATTAAGATACAAAATTTTAAAACATAACAAATATTAAGATAACAAATATTAAAACATAACAAAACTAAAACTCGCCTGGCATACCAAGTGGTTTCTGTTTTGCAAAAGCTGTTGTAACATGAGCCTTTTATGGTGCCAGGAGGACGTGGTAGATTTCTCCAGGCACTTTATTTTTCTTTTTTTTTTTTTTTAATTTATTTTCATTAGTTGGAGGCCAACCACTTTACAATATTGTAGTGGTCTCCGTCATACATTGATGTGAATCAGCTATGAATTTACATGTATTCCCCATCCCGATTCCCCCTCCCACCTCCCTCTCCACCCGATCCCTCTGGGTCTTCCCAGTGCACCAGGCCCGAGCACTTGTCTCATGCATCCAGCCTGGGCTGGTGATCTGTTTCACCCTAGATAATATACATGTTTCGATGCTGTTCTCTT